TATCTCACACACATCCGATCATCACTTCTTCGCTCCTTATTAACACACCACCCTACTTCTTCCTCTCTCTCTCCTTCTCTCTCTCTCTCTCTTCTCTTTCACACACACAACACACACACACAGCATCTCTCCACATCCACCATTCTCATCCTCCATTCTCTCTCTCCTTCTCTTCACATCTCTCGGTCCACTCTCTCCTCATCTCCTTTCTCTCTCTCTCTCTCCTTCCTTTCTCTCTCTCTCCTCTCTCCTTGTCCTCACTCCATCTCTCTTCTCTCTCTTTCTCGAAATCACACCACTCTCTCCCTCCCCGTCTCTCCTTTTCTTACTCGCATCATCCCACCTCACTCCGCAAACCATCAATCCTTTCCCCTACCACCCTTTCACCTCGCTCTCTCTCGTCTCCCTTGTCCCCTCACAATGCGACCAGGTGACACTCTCTCTCGCTCCTCCTCTCTCTCCCGTCTCTCTCTCTCTCTCTCTCTCTCTCTCTCTTTCTCTTCTCCTTCTTTCCTTCCCTCCCTCTCTTTTCCTCTCTTTTCTCCTTTCTCTCTCTCTCTCTCTCTCTCTCTCACCACATACACCCATGTTGTTTTTTTATTTCATCAAACGGAAAAAGTCCCAAAACCGAAACGCATAAACATGAAAAATATAACTGAACCGCAACCCACCCAGAGCAGCGCGCCAACCACTCCTCCGCCCGCGATGCACAATCACTCTCGCAGCGCCAGAAAAGGCCGGCGGAATTGCATCACTGCCAGCCTGATAAGCGCCGCGAAGTCGAATCCACTGGCGTGTGTGTGTTCTCGAATAATCTGCCGGTGATTAGATTGCGCCGGAAAAGAAAAGAAAAGACTATTTCTCATGGTATACTATGCTGCAGGAGTTACGTAAAGATTGATTCATGATTTTGTGCGTAGTATGTTGAAGTTTTCTGGCGTTTTTGTTAATAGTAATAGTTTTTTTTTTCATTGTTCATAGGCGGAGTTATTTCTACGGGTAAAATACAAAATCACGGCATAAGTACATATACAATCGCTTTAGCTATGAAGATCAGTCTGTAAGCACAGCGAAGTTTAACAGTAAGTATAATATAACCAATGTCCTGTAAGAAAACCAGAAAGACCTCAGTAAAATAATATACAGTACCTGTAAGCACACACACAGTAAGTAATAAATACAGAGTCTGTAAGTTAGACAAGGACAGCCTGTAAGCAACACCGTGTAAGTACCAACAACATTCCTGTAAGCACCCATGGTGTCGGATTTTTTCAGACAACCTGTAAGCAGCACCGAAGTAAGTACACATACAGTCCTGTATAAAAGACGCAAAATACTGTACACACACAAGTAAGTAATCACAGGAGTCTATACACCCAATCGTAGACAACAGTAAGAGTACCCAGGTGACACGTCCTGTATAACACCACAGTAAGGTAATACCCAAATCTGTAAGGCACACCCACTACAGTACAGTAAGACACAGCTCGTCCCTGTAAGTACACACACAGTCCTGTAAGCACACACACAGTAAGGTAATACACAACCTGTAAGACACACACAGTAAGTAACACACAGTCCATGTACAGTACCAATCACACGTCGTAAGAACCACACAGTAGTAATACAGACAAATCCGTAAGCACACAACAATCTGTAGCACACGACACAGTAAGTACATACACCCCCCACCTAGTCTGTATAGTAAAAGCGCACAAATCCTGTAAGCAACCCACAGATCACAGTAAGTACATCACACAGTCCTGTAGTACAAGACAGGGCACAATCTACTGTAAAGCACACAGGAGTAAGTACAATCTACAGTCCTGTAAGCACAGAACAGTAAGTCATTACAAATACACAAATCTGTAGCACGATCAACAGTAAGTACACCACACAGTCCTGTAAGTACAAACACCAGTCTGTAAGCACATCACACAAGAAGTACAGAATAAAGTAACATACACAATCCTGTAGCACACACACAGTAAAGTCCACAGTGCCTGTAGTACAACACCAGTCCTGTAAGCACACAACAGTAAGTGTACAGCTACAGCAATCCTGTAAGCAACACGCAGTAAAGTAACAACACAGTCTGTAAGCACACACAGACAGTAAGTAATACCATCCTGTAGCACAATCAGGATTGACCACAGAGTAAAGACACAGACAGTCGCTGTAAGCACACAGTCAGTAAGTAAGTACAAATCTGTAAGCAACACACATCAGTAAGTAACACACAAATGCGTGTAAGTACCACCAGGTAAGTTACAGCACACAGTCTGTAAGTAACACAAATCCTGTTAAGCAAAGACACAACAGGAAGTACATACACAATCTGTTGGTACAGACCAGTCTGTAAGAGCACACACCAGAAGTACAAATAATCAGTCCTGTAAGTACATCACCACAGGTCCTGTAGTAATACACACAGTCGTAAGTACACACCACGAATCCTGTACGCACACACAGGAATAATACAAACAATCTGTAAGTACAACAAGTCATGTAAGCACACACATACAGTAAAGTAACATACCATTCCTGTAAAGTACAGCCACGTCCTGATAAGTACACACACAATCCGTAAACAACACAAGAGTACATACACAATCCTGTTTAAGTACACACCAGTCCTGTAAGCACACCACAGTAAGTACATACCCAGTCTGTAAGTACACACACAGTCTGTAAGTACACACACAAGTTCATACTGTAAGCACACACAGTAAGTAACAGACAGTCCTGTAAGTACACACACAGTCCTGTAAGCACACACACAATCTGTAAGCACACACACAGTAAGTACACACACAGTCCTGTAAGTACACCCACAGACATGTATGCGGACACACGTGTATAAGCAGAGTATCCGCATCCCGTGATTCAGTGACCGCATCTGTGACCAATAAAAGTTTCTCTCGAATGGAGGAAGAAAATACATGATAAAAGAAAAATAAAGAAAGTAGGAAAACTATACAGAAAGATGGTATTATTCACGAAATAATGTAGAAAGGAATAATTTACAATTAATGTCAACATCAGCTGGGTTGCATAAGGTCATTGC